TGGCCGATTTGGAGACATTGAAAATTAAGTATGACGATGAGAACTTGGCGTTGATGTTGTTGTATTCTCTGTCGCCATCATATGTAACTTTTAGATATACTATTCTCTATAGTCGGGATATTCTCATCATGGAAGAGGTCTATGATGCTTTACTATCTAAAGAGAAGATGAAACATATTGTTGGAAGATATAGGAATCATACTAAAGGCTTGATTGCATGTGGGAGAAATCAAGGTAGGAAACTTGGCAGAAATATGAGGGGCAGATCGAAATCTAGACATGCTAAAAAGATATGTCACTATTATAAGAAGAAGGGTCATATTAGAACTGATTGTTATGCCTTGACGTGCAAAAATAAAACTATCGGTGCTACTAGGAAAGGAAAGTAACATATTAATACAGCGGAGGCTGATGTTATGGAAGATGGGTAAAGTGAATGAGAGTTTCTTGTGATTTCTGACATGGATTTCAAACCATATAAGGAATGGGTTCTTAACTCGAATTGTACTTTTCATGTGTCCTAACAAAGACTGATTTTCAACTTATAAAGGAGTTTCGAGAGGTGCAATTATTATGGAAAACAATACGCCTTACATAATTGTCGGAGTTAGTACAGTCAAAATCAAAATGTTCGATGGGGCTATCAGAACATTTATTGAAGCGGAATCTCATATCTTTGAGTGCACTTGACTCAATAGATTATAGATACACTGGTGAAGGTGAAGTTTTGAAGATGAGTCGAGGTGCTCTTGTTGTCATAAAGTGACATAAAAACTCTACACAGTTGTACATTTTACATGGTTTCACAGTAATAGGGGATGGAGCAGTTCTACTTCTTCTTTGACATATGATGAAATTACAAATTTTTGGCATATGCAGCTTGGGTATATAAGTAAGAATGGTATGCTAAAGCTGAGTAGAAGGAGTTTTCTTGATGAACAGAAGACCAGCAAAATACTTTTTTGTGAGCATTGTGTCTTTGGGAAATAAATGAGAGTCGGATTCACGAAAGGAAGACACGACATGAAGGGAATACTTGAATATATCCATTCAAATCTTTGGGGACCAGCTAGGGTACCATCAAAATGAGGCCATTATTACTTCTTGACAGTGATTAATGATTTCTCTAGAAATATTTGGGTATTCTTCATGAAGCATAAGAGTGATGTGTTTGGGACCTTTAAAGAGTGGAAAACTTTGGTAGAAAAGAAAACTAGAAAGCAAGTGAAACGTCCACGTACAGATAATGGGTTTGAGTTTTTTCAGATAAATTCAATAACTTCTATAGTGCTGAAGGAATGTTGAGACACTTGACAGTGCTGGGAACTCCTCAACCGAATGGTGTGGCAGAACGAATAAATAAAATTTTGATGGAAAAGTTCGTTGTATGCTTTTAGATTCTAGGTAGCCTAAAACTTTTTGGGCTGAAACTGCTACTACAGCTTGTTTTCTGATTAATCGCTCAACATCAATTGTCATTGATAAAAAGATACCAGAAGAAGTTTGGGTGTCATGCTTATATTCATGTGGATAATGGGAAGTTAGAGCCTAGGTCTAGAAAGTGCATCTTTCTTGGGTATAAATTGGGTGTGAATAACTATAAATTATGGTATCTTGAGAGGGATGAAGTGTTTGAGAGTTGTCTGGTATTGCTTTTGGAGGGATTTTAATTCTTTTTTGCCCGTTAAGCCCACAATTATTGACCATCTCTCTCAGGCGTGGGACCCACATGTCAGGACCAACAACCATATTCTTGATTTTAAGCTACACCAGACAGGACCTTGATGAACTTTCTATGGTTCGTGGTTCACCTCTTGGGGATTATGATAAAATTGAGGAGCAAAATCATTCTACTCAGATGAAGTTGGAAATTGGTTCAGATGAACAATCAAAGGTTGGAAAATAGTATACTACAGATCAGTAATGTTCGGGGTTGACAGACAGTAATATCTTGCCTACTTTGTCTACACCACCAGCACCACAAAATTCAATAACTAAGGATAGACCTCGCAGACAGATTAGACCTCCATAGAAGTATGAGAAAGCATATTTGGAAGCTTATGCAATAAGTGTGGCTGAAAACATTGATTCTACTAAGGAGCCTGCTACATATTTAGATGAAGTCAGTTGTAGTGATTCTAGCATATGGATGATTACTATACAGGAGAAGATGGAGTCATTGAGCAAAAATAACACTTGGGACTTGGTGAAATTATCTAGAGGTAAAAAGGTTGTTCGCTACAAATGGGTGTTCAAAAGAAATGAAGGCTCATCAGGGATTGAAGATGCTAGATACAAGGCTAGATTGGTGGCAAAGGACTACAGTCAGATTCCAGGTATTAACGTTACAAATGTGTTCTCCCCAATCGTGAAACATAGTTCTCTCCGGGTTTTACTTGAAGTGGTGGCTAAGAATGACTTGGAGCTTAAGCAAATGGATATCAAGACAACATTCTTACATGGAGAACTTGAGGAAAGCATCTACATGCAAGAACCAGAGGGGTTCATAGTCTCTAGGAAAGAAGACCATGTGTGCTTGTTGAAGAAATTCTTGTATGGACTAAAGTAGTCACCAAGGTAGTGGTATAAGAGGTTTGATTCATTCTTAACTTCTCATGGTTTCTTCAGATGTTATTATGATAGTTGTGTGTACTTCAAAAAGGAAGTTTGTAGATCGACTACATATTTGTTATTATGTGTTGATGATATGCTCATAGTAGCCAAAGATAAATCAAAGGTCACAAAAGTAAAGTTTCAACTCAGCAAGGAGTTTGATATGAAGGACTTGAGTACAGTAAAGAAGATTCTTGATATGGAAATCTTGAGGGACAGAAAGGTTGGCAGCTTGATTTGAGTCAGAATGAGTATATTGAGAAGGTGATTGAAAGATTCAATACAGTGAATGCGAAGGCTATCAGTACTCCCTTGGCTACTCATTTTAAATTATCATCTAACTTGTGTCCTCAATCCGATAAATACATTGATTACATGTCTCGAGTTCTTTTTCCCAATGTATTTGGTTCCTTATGTATACTATGGTTTGTACAATACCTGATTTGGCACACACAGTTAATGCAGTTAGCAGATACATGGCAAATCCTGACAAGGAACATTGGAAAGAAGTACAGTAGATCTTCGTATACTTGATGGGCTCTTCTAATGCTTGTTTGCATTTTGGTAGAAATTCAGATGGAGTCATTAGGTATATGGATTCAGATTATGTCGGGAATCTTAATAAATGGAGTATGTGTTTACCCTTGGAGACTATACTATCAGCTGAAAAGTTACTTTGCAAAATAGAGTAGCTTTGTCTACAACAAAAGCATAATACATGGCCATTACAGAGGCATGTAAAGGGGCTATGTGGCTGGGGGATTAATTAGTGAAATCAGTGATCAAGATTTACAGATATCTATAGTATTCTATGATAGTCAGAGTGCAATTTTCTTGACTAAGGATTAAATGTTTCACGAAAGGACTAAGCACATTTATATGAGGTATCATTTTGTGTATGATGTGATTGCTCATGGTGATATTGTAGTGAACAAGATTGGTAGCAAGGATAATCCTTCTGATATGATACGATGACAAAACCACTTTACATTACTAAGTTTGAACATTACTTGAACTTAGTAGGTATTTGTTATTGATTTAATCCATTAAAGCTTGTTAGGGATAGGAGGACTTGTGTTTATTGATGGAGTTGTGACTTGGAATTTCTTGTGTTAGAATTTGGTTAAAGGTCGACATTTGTTGAGGTTTGACCCAGATTCTAGTGGGTATTGGAGTTTGTATTGGAGTGGTCTTGAGATCAAAATTATAGATGGAAGGAAAAAGTCATCGCATTTTCGCTAGCCTGACGCTAGCTGAACATTCGAGCGAGCCCGGTAAACAACCCGATATTTGGTCGCTCGCCTAACACTCGAGCGACAAGCTTACCTGGCCAGGCCCATTTTCGTTTTTTGACGAGATTTTGGACTTCTATTCCTCTACAACTTGTTCTCTAAGGTTTATATATATGTGTCACCACTTGTATAGAAAAAACAGATAAAGACATTCATACAACATCTTGAGAGCTTTAGATTTCAATTGAGTGCAATGAGATCTTGTAAACACAATTGCTATTGATTATGGTAGATTTCTCCTCCTCTGCTCATGGTTTTTTTCCCGTGCTAGGTTTCCATATAAATTTTGGTGTTTATTTTCTTCTTATTTATTTCATTATCGTCATTATCTTTCAATCCAAATTCATAACAAGTGGTATCAGATTATGGTATCTTGTTTGTTTCATAACATTGTCATTAATAATTTCCTAATTTCAAGAAAACAGTTCTTGTAGGTAATCTGCATACTTTACATTTTTTGTCCATGAGTTAAATGATTCCAATCTTTGAGGGCCATGTGATCTATCTAACAAAAGACTTCATATACCACTCAAGACTCATGTTAAGTAAAATTCATCATCTCAGTTTTGACATAGAGAAAAAGGAGTAGCCATACTGCAGGAGACCAAGGTACATGCATTTTAGAGACAAACAAATTACTGAAACACTATTCAGAACAGAGAATTTGAAAGATACAGAATCAAGGAAATGAAACAGAAATAATACCATAATACATGTAAGTGCCTCCTGGATTTATTATTCCTTTCGAAACAGAGATGAGAATACTACTATTCTCTGTTAAAACTATGAGCAGCAGCATAATATTCACTTATATATTTACCAATTATTTCTATCTATGTATAAACTAAATAATTTATAAATTCTTCCAAAATGGAGGTAATTACATAAGTACGTTTATTTTATAAAGCTTATTGTTTTAAAATTTAAGCAAATATCATGCTATGTTTTGCAAATTAACCGTAATAATTCATATGACTATATATATGTAAGCAACTATATTATTTGGATTAGAAAATACATAACAAATTGCAAGGGGTTGACAATGAGGAAATTTCCGTATTTAGTGTTACATGATTTTGCAGTAATTAATTTTCCTTAATTTGTCCTTGATGATGCAAAATATGCTAAAACTCCAACAAGAGGTGCGGTGGTTGCAATTGCAGCCTCGGCCTGCTGATAATTGTCTCTTGAGTCTGTATATTCATCTGTTTGACCTGGTCCTCCAACTATTGCACCATTAAGAACATTAGGGTTTGGTGCATTCCTATGAAACCAAGCGTCGAACCCATTTTGGCAAGTTACCGGAGTTGGATCTTTCTTAACCGACGCAATTGATGCTCCTCGATGATGAACCTCTTTCGGATACTTTGTTCCAAACCCGACCATGTAACTCATTTTGTAAGGGTTTAAGCCGAGGATGTAGTTCACCTAATCGGAAAAAAAGAAAATACTGTCAGTTAATGAAAATGCATGGTCTAATTGAAACTAATTAATTCCTAGCTAGGTAAATCATGACTGAGATGTCCTCTACTTCATGAAAGGCATGTCTGTCAATATATGTCAAAATCATATATGCTAAAACCCTTCTATATAAGTGAGGTACATGTCCAAATAAGCTTACAATTTTATGTGATTTGAAGCCTCTCTTCCATAATTCAAGGCCTGTTCGATATAGAATTTTTAAGAAAAAATTTTGAGAAAAAATATTTTTTGAAGAATGTGTAATTAAAAAAGTACAAAAAAAAAAAATGGTTCCACATGCAAAATTATTTTATCAGAAAAATTTATGATTAAAAATGAGATTAACGAAAAATTAGTTTTAAAGAATCTCTACCAAACGAGAGCTTAATGAAAACGGTGCACATGTAAAAGTGAATAAACGACTTCAGTTTGCATGTGAGATGGCGTGTTACAAGATAAAATTTAAATGATATACATGTTAGTTTATGTAATAACTTAAACTTTGCAATCAAATCATCAAACGATAATATGTAAATCCTGACGAGCATTGAGAATCCGTCTTCTGTATTGTTTATGCCCCGGCTCAATGACCAGGGCATTGACAGGGGCGCCAAGTGAGCAGTGGCAGCCCCCCCTCCAATGTGAAGTGGCGCCCCTGTCAATGCCCCGGTCATTGAGCCGGGGGCATTGAGTGTTTTCCTATGATAAATGGACTTCACTAGGTAACTATCAAGTCTAGTCTAGTATAATTTATTCTAGCTCACCAATGCATACACGAAAATGTGAAAAATCAGTTTCGTGGCACTATCTAATCTATCAATACACATTTATATATAAATATTATACCTGTAAACGGACTTCGCTGATCAAATATTCCGGAAGGAAGTCGAACTTTCCAGAAGGGCACCGAAGGGTATTCTTTGTGGCAGCAAGGACGGTGGAATAGGTAGTCGTGATAAATGATGCACTCGTGACGTACTGAAGGTTATTCCAAGGTTGCCACCAAAGAAGCCCCATATAAGATGCTTTTACATTGCTACTGCCTTTCTGAATGCAGTTGCAAATAAATTCCTCGACATAGTTTTTGTATTGTCCCAAATTTCCATTTCCTGGATATCTTCCCTCGAGAATACCCTAACAAATTGCAAAAAAACACATAATTTGGTCAACAAAATTGAATGTGTAATACGGTTTCTTCCTTAAATCTGTCGAACTGGATAAAATAATTGAAAAAGTTCGTTATATGCTTTTCTTTCTGAATCATGTCAACTCTATCAAATATATCTTTAAAAGAGGGATCCAAAGGTTGCACGTAAACTTTACAATGCTAAGTGTTGGTACAATATTAAGGCTCTGTCTGGGAGCAATTTTTTGGGCCAAAACATTGATTTTTCAACTGTTAAATTCAACATGGGTCCCACCAATGTGAGGAGGGAGTTAACAAGTGCGGCTCCAACGGTTTAAAAAATGATTAAAATCTTCAGGAAAATTGGAAACAGACAGCCCCTAAGAATTACAAATGGTCATAGGCTGGCTTCAGCTGGAAATGAACTGTAATTTGTGCACTTCAACTCACAATCATGCCCAGACTACTATGTCGAACAAACTATAAGGTGTAATGGAGTCAGGTATCGGTTGGATTCTCCCAAAAAGACAAACATTTTTCTATCGTTTTGTGTCATATTTTCAAATGAGTAATGCTATGCTTAGTGAGCAACTACAAACAACACGCTCACATGTATCGTTAGATTCATATACCTTTGCAATGAGAAGTTGAACGCCGACGTACTTGTCGTCCCATGAAAACTCTGTCCTGGTGCCTCCTGGATTCGTGGAAGTAATGATGAAATCTAGGTATCTTTTTTCTCCAGTGGCACGCTCTAACCATAAAGCAGCCCACAATAATTCATCCTGTGCAAATCACAGAATGGATATCAAATTGTTTTGTCCCATGAAATATAGGGATAATTGCAGCTGTTTACCAAACATTTCATTTAGTGGCAAACTTTGCTCAAACCTTTCAAGGAATGTTTAGCGCAACATACTGGAGCGGATAAGGATTAAAATAAATATAACTAATCCTTATTCGGTGTTTGTGTAATGAATACCCGAATTAAATTACTTTGGGGGTGCTTATCCCCGTTTTCTCAATCATATAAAATTAAATAATTAATATGTTATGCAGGATAGGTTTAGACCGTATTATTTATTAATCAATTTATAAATTGAGGATTAATGAATTGGATTACACGAATTTACTTACCCCTCCAATGATTTCCTCTCTAATTTAATACTGTACCCTCAATGTAATAAAATCTAATTGAATAGTTACCTCATAGCCACTGCTGGAATAGAATTTTCCCGCCGGGGAAATGCTGTTTTGATACTGGCCAGGATGTTTTACAGCAAAATCAAATAACTGTCACAAAAATCAGATGGATAATGGATTAGTATTGCAACAACTTCTTTAATAAAAATTCGTTCAATGGTCTAGACTTAACCCTTGTTGGCATATCGGAAAGTGATATTGAAATTGTAGAAATTTTTAACAGAGTTTTTTTCACGTACATATAAAATTTGTTTCCTCCTATCAAAGTTTTTTTCACTATGCATATTTTTAGTAAATATAGCAAGGAGATGGTGCACAATTTTCATAATTCAATACAACGTTGGAATGAGAATAAATGTATCCATTTCAAATCTTGCCATCGAACAATTAAGCGTGTGTCGTATTCAAATACTATGGCACCTAGTATTGCTCGATGGTTGTTAGTCGATGTGCACAAAAACACGGAAAAGAAAGAATAAAATCATATCGGCACAAAAACAAGTGAACCTGTTTGGCATGGAGAATAAGTTGGGCTGAATATCTAGGGTTTGCTCTTCTAAACGCCAATGCAGCAGCAGCAAATGCAGCCGCAGTTTCCCCAGCAAGATCAGCTCCGGGATGCTGCTCATCAATCCGATAAACGGTCCTTGGCGTAGTCATATCTTCGGGCCTCATCCAACACGCATGATCAGAATCACCATCTCCAACTTGACCATAAAGAACATTAGGTTCTGGGTGTGCTTTGATGAAATAATCAGTTCCCCATTTGATGGCAGCCAATGCATTTGCTAACTCTTTTTTGGCCTCAAGTTGTGACCCAAATTCCACTGCACTCCATGCAAGCATCGTCACAGTATACGCCATTGGAAAACCAAATTTAACGTTGTCTCCAGCATCATAGTATCCTCCCACAAGATCAACCTGTGAAAACATAATAGATGTGCATGAAAGCTCAAACAATCTTTAAACGAAAGGGTACATGTACCAAAATCGCCAAAAAACCAGTTACCTAGGTAGTGAATACTCAGATGTTAGAGATAAATCTAAGGAATCCACTATATAAAAATATAAAAATAAAAAATAACCATCGAGTATGCATACCCCGGCATCTTTGCCATCGTTAAGCGCGGAATCGCCTCGCCAATTTACTCGTTGGTTGGGGGGTAACTTCCCTGATCTTTGTGCTTCATAGTACAACAAAGATTTGGTTAAGGCAGCTCCATAGTCTACTGTGTCAGCATTAGAGTGAACAAAAGAAAGAATGCAACAAGCAAAGGCCATGAGAGAGAGAGAAGACATAATTGCAGTTTATCGGAAATGAAAAGGAAAGAACCTTGGGAAAATGGCCTAATTTATATAGAATAATCGAATATGAGACTAAATGAATTTTTTCCTTTGATGAATAACTTAAGGGTTTCAACATTTAGTATGGTTCGTCAATCTGCCAAACAAAATAGTATTACATAATTGCTTTTCTTGTGGTATGATGAATATGTATTATGGAAAGTTTTAGTGTGGAGTCGAGGATTGAAAGGTAAAATTCAAAATTATCCGTTAATTAAGTAATATTCTTTAATTGAAGAAATTGTAATCTCTCATTAATTTTAGCTATTAAAACCATTACTTGATAATTATTATATATGAATTCATATATAAGGAAATGTTATTTTTTAATCTAGCTACATTTCTAAATAATCAATTATGCTACAAGTACAGAAAATGTTAACACGGACAACACATAGCGTGGAATCATTGGAAGATTGAAAAAAGGGTAAATCAAATTTCACCACATCAGCATCTGTATGAATTCAGCATGGAATTTTCTGTACTCGAGGCATTTTCCCTAAACAACAGATTATATTGAATATCCAAGTCGATTTTTTTGCATTCAACCCAATTTGTTTTTCGGGCGATAGTCGATCATTCCTATCATTTTATTTATATGAAAACAAACAAAATCATAATTATAATAGTAAAGTTTTAACCAAGTTCCATCTTTTAGAAGGTTTTGAAATAATAATTTAAATAACTCAATGTTAGGACTTGCTTCAGAGTAAATTTAACCGCATCAAACACTCCAGACAACACAAAAGTTGTAAATACTAAATAGTGAAAATGCCATTCAGAACAAGTGCAAGGACGTAACATATTTACCTTAAATAACACATTGGCCAAAATGGCAAAAACTCAAAAGATTGAAACCATACAATACAAGCCATGCGGATCCTATTCCTACTATTTGATTTGGACCAAACGATACCCCAAACCAGACTAGTGCAACTGATTAAATTACTACTTCGTTTTTTTAATTTTTACCAACGATAATGTAAATGAGTTGACGTAGAAGTTCTTGGTATTGAGAAGTAATGAATCGAATTTGAGGTGCCAAATGAGAGCTCTAATCGTTGTAGCACATATAAGAGAAATCAATGGTCAATTCATATAGTGTTGGTGCCTTTTTTTTTTTTTGTTGTGATGAAAAAATAAATGAAAAATCGACTATTTAATACTAAAATAATTCAGAGAAATAGAAAAAATTTTAAAATTTTAAAACATATTTTCTTTTAATGCCCATGCTCATTAACATGAAGTGTATGAATACATATCATAAACTATTAGAAACTAATAAGTAAATGTAATTGAGACGTGAATTTCTTATAAATATAATAAAATTTACTTTTATCCAGTAAATAAATTACAATAATATGACATTGTTTATACAATTACAAATATTAACATAAAGTAATAAAAGAAAATGAAGGAAAATAAATTTTTAAAGAAAACTTTTAAAAGATATGTTAATTTTTATATTCTCACTGCTTGTTTTATTACTTTAGGCAAGTTTAAACTATATAAATTTCTCTTAATATTTCATAAATATAAGCATTTTTTCATCTCTTTACACGTCTAATCCCATCCCCAGCATTCCCCGCCTTTCTAATTGTTTTGGTTAATTTAATTGATCGTTTTTCTCTTTTGATGATCTTTCTGTAACAAAGTGAAATCATGAAAAAATAATGTAATTTATAAAAAAATAATTTTGTTATATTTCTCTAGTGTCTATTTTTTATACAGAATTATGGAACAAGTACGAAGAAAGACCGGAACTTCAATAAACGAGTGACTTTATTAATTCATTGAAGTTTAATTTTGCAAAAATTGCACTGCAACTTGGAAATAAAACTTTGTTCGAGAGGCCAAAAGTGAACTGGAGTTGTTTTAGTAGATGAGAAATTAATCGGAAAAAAAAAAAAAAAAGAATCATATAACATAGAGACGAGACCTAAATGTATATAATGAATTGAACTCCACCACGAATCATATCAAGTTGTATCAATTCGCACGTTCGGTGACACAAGACGGATCTTAGCCATACGCTAAAGGAAGTTCAAATTTGGCAACTGGGATGATCAAACATGCGTCTTGTTTAGCCACGTGTTAAACTTGACGTAAGTGAAAAGTGTACTGGCAAAATGTTAAATTTTATTTTTAAACCAAAAATGTAATTCATGTGTTTTCCTAAAAAATCCAAACCTTTCATCTTCCTAATACCATCAAAGAAAGAATCAACAAAATACATCTTAGTTTCACTCTCTCTCACCTTCTCCACCACTGCACTCCGACGACAGCAAAAGTTATTAAAGAGGAGGCTTGAATTTCCTGTGGCACCACCGACAACAGAACCACCTCCACCACTACACTCAGTTTGATATGGGTGATGTCCTCATCGATGATAAATCCACTGGTATGCACTCTTATAAGCCTTTAAATTCTACTATTTTAAACAACTTACATAATTATCACTTTTAGAAGTACTTATGTCATGCTAATTAGATAATTTTTACTCCCCCTGTAATGTAGTCTACGACCCATTCTAAATTTTCAGTGTCATATGGTGGATTAACATTGGCGGATTAAGCTACAATCTCCAAATGAATATGTATTTTATTTCATAGTGATATTAGTCATTAATTATTGTTTCTAATTAATAGATTAGTCGTCAATTACTACTTTATACGGTTTTAGTCATTATTTTATGTTTATCTTTTCATAGATTATAAAGCGATTGAGAAGTTGATTGAAGAAGGCAATACGTTGGATATGGGTGATGAAGAATATGTGGATGAACAAGAGTCAAATAAGAACTTGGTCAGTGAAGAAATTATTCAAGCACCTAGAAGTTGGGATGACTTTTGAATCACTAGACTACCTTTTTGGGTATTATAAACAATATGGGAAACAAGAAGGCTTTGGAGTAAAAAAGAGAACAACACATCATTTGGAGATTTGACATTTGTTTGCATGTCATGTTGTCGAGTCAGGAATTCAAGGTTTGTAAAACAAAATTACCTCAATCCTAACATATTGATGAAACTAGGGTGCAAAGCTAAGGTTAACGCTTCTGTATTAAAAGATGGAAAGTGCAAGATAAATTCTATTATATTGGAGCATAATCATGGACTGAATCTACAGAAATCATGATTTTACTCATGTAATAGAGAAATTAGCTAGGTGCTAAGAGAAAACTTGAATTAAATGATCGAGTTGGGATTGGATTGGTGAAGAATTATCAATCATTTGTTATGGAAGCTCGTTGTCACGATAATGTCTCATTTTTGGAGAAAGATTGTAGAAATTACATTGATAAGAAGAGAAAATTACAAGTTGGTGTTGGAGATGCTCTAGCAATCCACAATTATTTTGTTCGGATGCAAGCAAAGAATTCAAACATCTTTTATATGATGGATGTGGATGATAATGCTCGAATTAGGAATTTATGTTGGGTTGATGCAAGAAGCATGGCAGCTTATGAAGAATTTGGTGATGTGGTTACATTTGACATGACCTACTTGAGAAATAAGTATGACATGCCTTTAGCACCTTTTGTGGGTGTAAATCACCATAGACAATCAATTTTATTTGGATGTGGATTACTATCAAGCGAGGACACCGATATCTTGGTTGTTTCGTACTTGTTTTGCATGCATGTCTAGACGTGCACTATGTGATATAATTACATATCAAGACAAAGCAATGCAGAAAGCTATTGAGGCTGTGTTTCCTAACACTCGACATCGTTGGTGTCTATGGAATATAATGAAAAAGATAGCAAAAAAATTAAGAGACTATAAGTTGTACGAAAAAATAAAAGGTGTCTTGCATAGTGTTGTTTGTGAATCATTGGAGAACAAAGAATTTGAAAAAGTGGGAGCAATCCATTACTGAGTTCAACATTCGTGAAAATGTGTGGTTAGATAATTTGTATAAAGAAAGGCATCGCTAGGTTCCTACATTTGTAAAGGACGTGTTTTGGATCGGTATGTTAACCACACAATGTAATGAAAGTATGAATGCAATCTTTGATGGCTATGTAAACTCGAAAACAACATTGAAACAATTTGTCGAACAATATGATAATGCTTTAAGAAGCAAGGTTGAGAAGGAAAACCGTGATCATTTTTAATCCTTTACTACATGGATTCCATGTGTAACACATTTTCAAATAGAAAAGCAATTTCAGAGTGTATAAACTAATTCAAAGTTCAAAGAATTTCAAAGAGAGTTGACTAAAAAATTATATTGTGAAGTTTCTTGTGTTGATGAGGAAAATGGATTGTTTAATGTATTCAGGATATATTGTTCGGAGATAAATAGAAAAAACTTTAGTTCATTGTTTTTTTTTTTTTTTAAAATCATTTTACATTAACANTTTTTTTTTGGCGATGAAGGTGGAAATGAGGTAAAATGTCCTAGTCGATTATTTGAATTTAGAGGAATTTTTTACAATCATGCTTTATCAGTTCTTTTGAAACGTAATATTCAAAAAGTCCCTGAACTTTAAATCTTAGCACATTGGAGGAAAGAATTAAAACGGTCTCACACGAAGGTGAAAGTTACCTATGATAATTGGAAAGACATTAAGGAGGCTTAACGTTATCACAAGTTGCAAAAGAAACTAGATGATATTGCAGACTTGGCTGTCACTTCTGATGAGAATTGTACCGTATCAGTGAACATGATGGATGAGTTTCAATCAAAAATAAATAGAATTGAATCGGCATTAACTGGTTCTTCGATAAGTACTAATGCCACTACGAGTAATTTTGATTGTTGTAATAATGTGGGTGATTTTTGTAAAGCTCCTAGTGAAAGCAAACTTCATAGTCCCCTTGCCGTTCAAAGACACAGACGTCCACCCAAGAATAGAAAGGTCTCCATTGTAGAAAAGTTTGTTTCCAAGAAGAAAAAATGTGAAGAAACAAAATCCAAGAAAAAGAAAGAAAAAATTGAGGTACATA